GAATTTTAATTCATGTTTTAATTAATTAGTGTATATATATTATACTGTTTACACACGCGCATGTTGAGGGGTAAGTATTATTATAATACATTTGTGTGGTTTAAACTCTAATTCTCGTCTACATGAAAAATTCATTAAGGGAAAAAGGGCAGGTTTAGAATTCAATCAGAGTCAAATCCAAAAGAAAGTATTCTGAAATTCAGTGAGAAATAAATCAATTTTTTTTTTCTTGGTTTCTGTATGTATAGTTTAATTAAATGTATCTTTCGAATTGTTAAATACTCATTAAATTTACCTAGATAGAGAAGAGATGAGTCAAGATAGAGAAGAGATGAGAGCAGTTATTCGCTAATATTTAAATTAAACCATTATTAGCATAATAATTTAATTTATCTTAATTAGCTAATAAATAAATCAAATTCAAAGATCGTGCTATTTGCATTTAATACAGCCCTTGTAATAATATGAAATGAAGTGAAAGAAATGTGTAAATGAAATGAATGAAAATCTCTAATGTAATTTTTATTAAACATTTGGATTAGTTGTTAAGTTATCGTAATATGACATGTGATGCGTTTACCACAGAGAGCAGATACATCAACAGCGCCCAGTAAAATAGCTCAACACTGGTAGTTCTAACCTGAGTTCGATTCCAGCGAACGGGCTGGCTCCATGAGCGTTTTCGTGTTTTTCTCCATGTGTAAAACATATACAAGCCATTTTCCATAGAAAGTCCTCCACGAAGACATCACCCCTTATGTAGAAAGCCATAGTATGTTTTGCCATAATCAACGAAACAAAAAAAAACCCTTAAAACAATAATTACCAAGGTGTAGAGATTAACGACACGCTTAAATGAAGACTTGTAATCTTGTGATGTAACAATTTGGATTTTGATATATTATTTTGATTTTGTATTATAAATCAGAATAAAAGTTAAGAGTATAATAAGCTTAATAATGTGAATTATCTTTAATGTGAAATCTATGCGTCTTTTTTTAGACAGGGTTTAAGTTCTGAAATTAGAAATGCCGAGATCCCATGAAAGGTCGTCAAAAAGAAATATATATAGAAAGAAAATAATAATAATAAATAAATGATAATGAATCGCTTAAAAATTGAAAAGCAAATAAATATATTTATAAATTAATATAATTTAGCTATAGGTATTGTAAGTAAATTAAAACTATTGCCTTTTGAAAACGAAATAAAAAAATATGATGGCGCACACGGCATGACCTTCCTTGTAAGGCCTATTACATTATAATTTTTTTTTTTTTTTTTTTTTTTGCTGCAGCAATAAACTGATATCAAATACTGCCAGATATTTATTGTTAGACTAACTATACATATAAACTGTGGGTATGTATGTAGTTAAGATTTTTTTATTTGTCGATTTTTTTTAATTCGATACATGAATATTTTTGTCATTTAAAACAAAAATATTCATGTATTGAATAACTAGTTAGAAGTATGTGACTGCGACGAATGATTGCGTAAATAAAGACCAGATATGAGCTTTTAAACCGGGTAAGGAAGTGGGTACCTATATATATAAATTGGACTCAAAGCAAGGCAATTCCTCAAGAATATTGATAAGTACAATCGTGTAAAAGAGGCTTAGCACAGTATCAAAAACAAATCAAAATTAAAATTAGAATTCATAGTAGTACAAACTCTAAAAATAAAAATGAAAATGCAAAAGGGAAAAAAATATACAAGATAAATAAAAATGAAAATGCAAAAGGGAAAAAAATATACAAGATAAATAAAAATGAAAATGCAAAAGGGAAAAAAATATACAAGATAAATAAAAATGAAAATGCAAAAGGGAAAAAAATATACAAGATAAATAAAAATGTAAAAATATAAATTAATCTCCATTTACTGAAACTCCAATTCAGAACCCATAAGGGGAAAATGAATTAAAGCTTCATAAAAGTTGATTAATATGTTTCGAAAACCTATCCGTTTCTGGTTCATTTGAGATCAAAAACCGGAAAAAGAATCTATTAAATTTTCATTTAAGACATAAAAATTCATATAAAACCGAAAAATCGAATCTCAAATGTACCAGGATTTTCCCTACACGTCTTCGAAACAATTGGGAAAATGAATAAAACATAGCAATGTGCTAATTTGAGTGCTCAAGAAGCAGAAAACTTTACATTAAGTAAAAAGACAATTCAAAAAAGTCAAATTGGTCTAAAATCATTATATGCAAATTCGAAATTCAAAAGCAAATAAATATAAGGAACAAAACAAATATACTTTAAACCAAATTGTCATTTAAACATCACTCAAAAATTGGGTGGTCCCCGATTATGCTAAAGCTAAACTAAACTTTTAATACAAAAAAAAAAAAAAAAAAACGAAAAACTTTTAAAAAAGATTCTTTAAATAATAAAATCAAATCTGAGCCTATACCAGCTAAAAACTGGAAACCAATTAGTAACAAAAATTGAAAAAAAATGCAAACTTACTAAAATCTGAGGACGACCTTCTAAACGAAAATATATTTAACTCTTCAGATGACCAAACTGTATTCCTTGTAGAATTCAACGCTGCTCTGTATAAGCGAAAAATTGTTGTTCTTGGAAAAAGTATGCGATTAAGGTTCGAAGTGTCCAATAGCAGTATCAAGTATTTAAACATGCGTTCAAAATGTCCTATCTTGTTAAACTTTTTGTGCGGAGGTGCCAAATGTTGGGTGCTGTCTGTTACACACACGTTGGAACCTTCGATTGCAATAAAAGCGAAGGTGCGCAACGAAGTGTTATGGCAGTTCCATATACAAAATTTCAACGTTCTACGGCTTATCGATTTTGAATTATGCCAGATGCTAACCTGCATATATAGGTACATATGTACAGACGTCACGGAAAATTACTTTTGAATCTATTTTAAATCTATTTTACAATTCGTTTTCAAAAAGGACTCCTTAATTTTGTCCATACGTACAAATGTCACGTAAAATAAATAAATAGATAAAATTTTTTTTTTTTTTAAATTAAAGAAAGAAAATCTAAAATGTTTCAGATTTTAAAATACGTCCAAAGGGACTTTTTTTTAACATTTTATGTGTTACATTTATTTATTAAATATCACGTTTTTCGCACATATATCATAAAATTCAGTTCAACAGCAATATCGCAAAATAGTTTTAAAATGAGCATATCTTTAGAATTTCCGATACAGAGACTCACGCGCTGAAAATAAAAAATGTTTTTTCTGTACAACGTTGCCATTGCTTCCTTTGAAATCCTTCAGTTTGTTAATAAAAAATTCGTTAAAATTTTACAAAATAGGAAAACGATAATAAAACAAATTCCAAATTTCAAATTTGGTCTTCCACATGTCCATATTCATAGGAGGATTACGTCATTCAAAATTTGATGGGTCTATGTACCGTTGTTTTATCACAATGCGAGAAATATTCATACATTTATGCAGATATTTCATTATTTAATTTCTTTAAATATAACAGAGGGCGATAATACTTTGTGGCAACAGTTTGAAAAGTGATTCGCCGTTTGTAGTGAATAGACGCAAAATAGCAAAATGAAAACAATAGTCCTTCAGGAACAAAGCCGCTGTGGACTAATAATCGTTCAAATGAATTCAGGAACGGTCAAATTAGATATTACCCGAAATATTTCGCGATTACGGTACTTCATTTACTTCGCACAAGGAAGTAAAAATTATGGCGACTAAATTAATGCTAGCTGTGTATGGTGTGCCAACCTTAAGAAAAAGGTTCAGAACAATACTCTTAAGAGATCAGAGAAAATCGTTCCCTTATTTTAACTTTCCTAAATCCCTTATTTTTTTTTTTTTTTTTTTACATTTTTCTGCGGGTCCGTTCATTTCAGGCCTTCTTGAACGAATGAATAGACAATTTTGCGTTCTTCCAAAAAGACGTTGAATCTGATTTCTCTCAAACTTTCAGAACTGTTAGACACATGTTTCAATATGCCCTTGTTAAATTTAAGCCCTAATTTTACAGTTTGTCAGCATGGAATTTTATTTGGGGACAAACAAGTAAATCAATCATTTTCAATTTCCATTAGTCCAAATGTCATTATTTTCCTTGTAAAAATGGCCTGTTTCAAACAAGTGTGACCTTAAAATCCGCAGAGGCGTTTTATTGCTTTGTTAATGATCAGACGATATTGATTCTAAGTTTAAATTCGAAACTATGCCATTAAAATAACTATAAATGTTTTTTGTAGAATCTCCGCATTTAACATGAAGACGAAAAAGTAAATTAAGGGTGAGGAAGATGCTATTCAAGTTGTGTAATGTATTTCAGTATTTTCTAATGTGTGTAAATTAAGTATATACTAATTGTACATAAAATATATACCGAAATGAAATTATGTACTCATAATTTCAAATAAATTATTTTTGGCTTATGTAAATGTAATGCTTGAAATATCCCCAAAATACTACATATGCATAACAACAACATGCTCTTCACTGAACGGTGAAAAAAAAATCATGATAGTCTTTAACAGTATGATTTATCTTATGAATTTTATTATTTGTTATTATTGCTGTCTTTAATTTGCCAAATTCCACAACAATATTTTTGCTTTAATAATCTTAGTACAGCAATACAGAACTTTTTCTATTCACATGCAATTATTTTCCATAAAAACCAACAGATGGCAGCACTAACCATTAAATTGGTACTTTGACATTTAAATCTGTTCAGCAAATGTTCATTTAAATCTGTTCAGCAAATGTTACGATGATTAATTAATTCTTCTAACTCTTAACCGATTTCCTCCTTTTTATTCTTCTTTATGTATGTGTGAGATATTTTGAACATTCTCACATTCATTAAAAAAAATTCGATCGTGACTATTGAAATTTACCAGATCAGAAATCCTAACTATCATTTTGAGTAGAACTTGTTTATTTTATTACAGTGACGTTCGTAATATGCCTATAAATGACTGTACGAGATAAGAACTGCTTTTCCTTTTACTTTACAGGTCGAAGAACTCCGCCAAATATTTTGCAAAAAGTAAACGTTGAGGTGATAGGGACGGATATGTGCCAAGAATGGCTTCGGATCGCAGGCCGCAAAGAAACTGTGTATCCTACAATGGTTTGTGCTGGTTACAAAGAAGGAGGCAAAGATTCGTGCCAAGTAAGTTAGATAGAAAATATATAGCTATTCTTTTATTTCTAATTATTCACGAATATTGTACTAATAATTAATTATTCACAAATATCACTACGCAAATATTTAAACAGAATCGAACATTGTTCTTACATTTCCAACTGTTTATTTTCTTTTCCATATCATGCATCATTTCCGCTTTACATCGAGTATAATCTCGTCTCTTCTCCTACCAGATCATTTTTTAAAATTAAATGCTGTAGTTAACATTTTATGTTTTAGTTAAACTCAGTTATAGAACGCATATACTTAATTACGTGCTGTTAAAGAGCCCACAGAAAACAGAAGCTACGTTTGCTAATAAATACAAAAAGAAGCTCAGGTATTATATGGTAACTTTTGATACCACGTAAACTAATACTAGACACCACCAATGTTTGCTGAATAATACTGCTGCAATCTACGTGTTCGTTGGCTGTGTTTTCAAATAATCACTCCGAATGATTAGGAAGAAATTGATAATTTATTATAAATAATAATGATACACAGCACAATAAATAGCTATAGATCGCTCTAAGAGAACGCGGATATTTAGCTATTCCTCTATGGCGCACGAGAAATATCGTAAATTTCCAAAATCGCTCACCGAGTCAACTCTTAAACATAATTTAGAGAACTCCCCTTTAATCATAGAAAACTCCCTTAATTTAGAGAGAAATTAATTTAACTCCCTTAATTTAGAGAACTCCCTTTTAATCATAACAACAACATGCTCTTCACTGAACGAGGAAAAAAAAATCATTATAGTCTTTAGCAGTATGATTTATCTTATGAATTTTATTATTTGTTATTATTTCTGTCGTTAATTTGCCAAATTATACAATATTTTTGCTTTAAAAATCTTAGTACAGCAATATAGAACTTTTTCTATTCACATCCAATTATTTTCTACCTAAACCAACAGATGGCAGCACTAACCACTAAATTGGTACTTTGGGTATCAAAGTTGATTAGCAACTCACTCGTTCTGCCTCTCGGAGTCGAATTTATATTCTATTCCATGGGCTTCTTGAAGGTTCGGTAAAAATCGGTCATTGCTCTTCGAAAATGCGTTTCCTAAATCTGCCAAAAAGCTGCCAAGTTCCCCAAATTTTCAAATGTCTCTAACTTACTGAAAGAATTGTCGGTAAGGCCCGTCAGGAGTGTTTTGACTCGGATTTGACATTTTAATAGACGTTTTAACTTTTACGTTCTTGGGCTCAGAATTGAAAGATTTGAAATTTTGTTCAAGAAATAAACTCTTATATCCATAACATATCTCTATAAATTCAATCACTAGCAAAATAAACCTTAAATTTATTACCCTAAAAGCACCAAATAACACAATACACGATATTACAGTAATACACAAAAACAACAATGCAATTAAATGAATATTTATTATTAATATTTACAGTAATATTAAATATTAATTAATAAATTATTAATCAATATTTACAGAAATTCAGTAGTATTCTTTTAACATTTTTGTCGTCTTATATCATTTGGAAAATGTTACTGATTCCTTGTACTTTATTTAATAATTTGTATAATTCTCGTTTTCCAGGGTGACTCCGGAGGCCCACTTACAATTAGGGAAGATGGAAGGACGACCCTCATCGGGCTGGTATCGTGGGGAGTCGGTTGTGCAAGGCCTCACTTACCTGGAGTGTACACAAAAATTACCGAATATTTAGACTGGATAAGAATTCATCTGAGATCATGACATCTCATTTCTTTAGAACAATGCCTGTTCAAATTCCGATGCTGTTAGTAGGCTATTAAGCACTGAATTCCCATTCTTCAGTCTAAACATTAACTATGGAGCGAGTTTTTTTTCTGGCATAGCTCTTTGTTATCAGATCATGGAGGATTCACCATTTGGTAAGACGGAGTCTTCAGCATGTGAACTTTTAGCAGCGTGCAAGAACAGCATGGTATCAAAATTTTCATCCCTTGAATCCACCTCAAAGTGTGATCATTACCTGTATGAGCATTTGTGGACTGTTGAGCACGAGTACGTCAGAAAATGCTGGTGTTCCCTTCAGAGCAGATACTGCAAAAGTCTCAGGTATCAACAGCAGAACTTGTACATTATAACTGAATTACATAGACCGTCGATAAACGGTATCATCTCTTGTTACAAATTATGAGTGCGTAATGAAGATTTATGAGCTACTTTTGCTTCTATATTCTTCATAAAAACTGTTAACGTACGTGTTATAAAATGTTTCAGCATCAATGACAAATGACTTTTTATTTAAAACATTTATTTACCAATGTTAAGACATTTCTTCCTCATATCATTGGATTCATTAAACACTACGGAATGTACTATATGAGAAAGACTGATTCGTTATGCTGTGAAGAGAATCGTCATTTGAAGCATTATATAATTTGATCGCAAATACTACTGAAAAATTACAAGTTGCCAAATAATTTTCTTACTATTGCGAGTAAATAGTAACTACTGTATAAGAAAGGCTTATTTACGTACAAAGTGTTCGACAGAGGTGGCTAACGATCTTGCATATTGAGCTTAAGTATATAATGGCACATAAATTTATTTGGATTACACATAACTCCTTACATCATTCCTTACTGATCTCAAGCATGTAATTCCAATTACAAATTTCTTAACATAAAGGATATGATCAAAATCGTAAAAAACAACCTTATATTTAGCGTAGGTATAATGAAACACTCAATCGATTTCGAGGGCAGCTAAAGGTCCCTCCTCGTCAGGAGAAAGAAATACATAGAAAGAAGAAAATAGGAATCACAGAAACACGTGGTGCTTATCAGCACTGCACGTGGTTATAACTAGATTTTTAATCAGAGTCGCACTGGCCGCCTACTTTTACTGAGCCAGGCTGTCTGATCAAGCATAAAGAAATATTAGCGAAGTTAAAATAGGGAGCGAGGGCAATTTTTGAAGTTCAGATTTTGAGCGTAATGTGCATTTGCCCTCGCTCCCTATTTTAACTTCGCTAATATTTCTTTATGCTTGATCAGACAGCCTGGCTCAGTAAAAGTATTAAGTAAGTATTGTGGTAACAGTAAGTATTGTGCATTTTCAAAAAATTTTTGAAGTTCAGATTTTGAGCGTAATGTGCATTTGCCCTCGCTCCCTATTTTAACTTCGCTAATATTTCTTTATGCTTGATCAGACAGCCTGGCTCAGTAAAAGTAGGCGGCCAGTGCAACTCTGATTAAAAATCTAGTTATAACCACGTGCAGTGCTGATAAGCACCACGTGTTTCTGTGATTCCTATTTTCTTCTTTCTATGTATTTCTTTCTCCTGATGAGGAGGGACCTTTAGCTGCCCTCGAAATCGATTGAGTGTTTCATTATACCTACGCTAAATATAAGGTTGTTTTTTACGATTTTGATTGTCACATTAGCGTGTTTCTCTTCTAGTCTATAAAGGATATGGTTTGACGAAAATATTTTCAGCATTAAGAATTTGGAGAGTTCGGTAAATATAAGGTCTAAAGTTATAAATCATACCTATTAAATGCAAAATTCATTTAGTTAAAATGTTTTTATGCTTTAACACACTTTCCATACTTTTCCTTTAACGTGACAAATTCACTGAGATAATGTAGAGCAAATTGACTGGCACAGACCATTTTTCTATGCTTATTAAGACGCGATTTCGGTCAGATTTAGGAAGAAATTTAAAATGAAATAATTCTTCCTTGAAGTGAAGGATTCTATGTTGAATAAAACATAACGCGATCATCAATATTTGCACGTAAAAGTTTAGAACCTTTTCTACGTATTAAAGCTTTAGGATTATTTCATTGAATACACTTTTGCTTTACAGATTGATTATAAAAAGGTAAATTTTGCATTTACAAAACGCTCAGCCTCTCGTGCTGAAATTGTTTTAGGATATACATGAGGAAGTAACATTCTTTAGACACCTTTCTCGAACACTTCGTATAGTCATTGTATGAATCACATTTTATTACATATGTCATGTGAAAAACTTACTGTTTTTAATGAAGTTTTGAAGGAAATCTAAACCACTTCAGATGTTGAGCAAAGATTAGGGATGGGACGTACGAACCCTCGAATTCCACGAATCTGAAGAAAGATTTGGAACTCGAAATCTGAAATCTTCACGCTTTTTAATCTTTCGAATCTTAGCCTTTAGCCTTAAATGCAAATTAAACGTTTTAAATCAAAACTTATTAAGTGATAAGATTAGTTTGCTGTCCAGCAAAAGAAATGTATTAACGTTAACGAACGTGATTGTTACATTTGAAATTGATTGTTACATTTGAAATTTGATCATCAATATATGTGTCACAATCTTAATTTTCTGGAGAGAATTCTTGAAATAAAACTTTTTCGTTTACACTTTTTTTTTAATTTAAAAATAATCTAAATAAATTTAAAAGACTTCAATTATTACTCAAATATTTATTTGACAAATTATAATGAGAAAATGAAACTTAAGTGTTTTAATAACGTATTTTATTTACTAAATTTCCTTTACCTTTAGGAACATTTTTAAAAGAACATATTTTTAAATGTATTTTTCATTAAAAGCAAAATTTTAAAATTTGGCTTCACCCCATTAATTCTTCTTGTTCTTATGTAAAAAATTCGATGTTCTGAAGATTGAAGAGATTCGAGAAAATTTTAGGATTTGTATTCGAAAAAATTTGTAATTCGTCTTTACTCTAAAAATTACTAAAAATAAAGAAATTCATTTTGTGTAATATCCGTTTACGTTCTCTACTCAAATAATATACAACCAGTTGCCCAACTAGGTGTCCAACTAGTGGAGTAACAACCAGTTGACTCAACTAGTTGAGCAACAACCAGTTGCCCAACTAGGTGTCCAACTAGTTGCCCAACTAGTTGTCCAACTAGTGGAGTAACAACCAGTTGACCCAACTAGTTGAGCAACAACCAGTTGCCCAACTAGGTGTTCAACTAGTTGCCCAACTAGTTGTCCAACTAGTGGAGTAACAACCAGTTGACCCAACTAGTGGAGCAACAACCAGTTGCCCAACTAGGTGTCCAACTAGTTGCCCAACTATTTGTCCAACTAGTGGAGTAACAACCAGCTGACCCAACTAGTTGTTCAACTAGTGGAGCAACAAGCAGTTGCCCAATTAGTGGAGAAAAATAGCTATTAATAGCGCTGATGATTTTTAAATACAATGCATAGAAACCTCTAGGTTTATTAAAAATACATTCGATACAATAACTTAATATTATAAAAGTAAAAGATAATTAATTAAAAAATTATGTAGTTTGCATTCAAGAAATTAACATAATGTACCAAAATTATTTTCAATGTGAATAATGCTGTCAATTAAATCATATAATAATCATGTGTATCAAATCATGTAATGTGATCATGATTTATATCATGGATAAAACAGAGCACTAAATAATCTGTCGTCTTGTATTTTTACGTGGTGCGATGGCTACGAATCAGTTGTAAACTCTTGAAATTTTTCATTTGTATTTTTGGTAAAATATGGTAAAACATTTCTAAAAATAATCATGAGTGTCACTCGTTTGGAAACTCATTACATGTTTGTTTCTGAATGTATTTTAGATACACAGATGTATGTACTTATAATAAAAACTGCAATCGAACAGTCAGTTTATGCTGGCATAAACTTGTTATCAAAATGTATTCAAATTTTAATTGCGAACATATTGCTTTTGATGATATATTATGATATTAAGTCTTCGAATGTTTTAAATCATGATGTATTTATTAAGGTAAATAAACGAATGAACATCTTATTTTTTTTAAGAATATTGTTAATAGAAATGCTATTCTTATTGTTTACGCGACTTAAATTCATTTACCTGAAAGCAATTCTAATGCGATAAGCGATTCGTTTCGGAAAGAGGAAATTATTAATTTAATGCGTAAAGTCTTGAAGGAACTGAGAAACAGAATATGTAATATATTGCCCCAGGGAACGGTTGTTTAGAAGTAGGTTTCATTTGAATGAGACAGTCCTTCTGATAGTTTTATTAAACTAAATAAAATTGTTGACTGGAATAATTGCTTGAGCTAAATTATTACATTGTATAAAAGTGTTAAATTCCTTATGGAAATAAACATAAGTTGTCCAAAAATGGCTACCCTGATCACGAAACATGATTCATGATTGTGCAGAGATAACGAAACATGCATTACACCTTAAATGCATAAACTCTTCGAAGTATATAATCATAATAAAAACATTTAATAAATTTTCATAAGTGCACCCGTGATACCACATAGCTAACGAGTACACAGTTTAACGCCACACACTTTTCCTGGCAAAATGGCCTTTAGGTTTTTTTTATTGTAGGTATGTGGTATAATATTGTGTACCATAGAGCAGTTACTGAGGTTGTGACTTTATGACAACTCACCACAGGCGCCATCCACACTGCTCCCGAAACTTACCTCACTTGTCTGGCAGCAACATCAGAACAAGCCATGAAAGTCATCTTTCCCTACCACAACCTCTCGAGAGAACTTTCGGCTCGCCATATATTTAGAGTGCCCCCATGTCGCAAAGACACTATACATTTACAAAGATTTACAAACATCCATGCCTTCTCCGGAATTCGAACCCGGGCCTTCTGGTACCGCAGTAGGCTCCCTTAACCACTATACTGTCTGGGCGGCCTTCCGAAATGTTGAGATATGTATGGCGTGAAACTGAGAGCTTTTGGATATTTTGCATGGTACTAAAGATGCATATGTGGAAGTTAATTAAATTTTATCAGTATAATGATAAACTTTGAAACTTTATGCATTCGAGTTTCAGCGCGTGTTGCTTTATCTTTGATAATTTGGCAATGTGTAGATGATAACTGGATACTAATCTGAATGATAATTTTAATTAATTGAATGATCATTACTGCAAGATTTACTTACAAGATTCAAGTTTACTTAAAAGATTTTGTTAATAAATGCCATTCCATTAAGTTTAAAGAATTTCATATGTTAAATAAGTTAATCGCTTTTTAATTAGTTAACGTTCTAAATTATTGAGGCACTGTATATGTATCACTGTAATATATCTATAGCTCTTTAAATTAATTTCTCTACTTAAAATTTGATAATTATATATTAATGATTTAAAAGATTAATACCCGGCGGTAGAATATAAATAAAAAAATTATTTTGTTATGCCTTAATTAAAAATACCTATGCAGAATGAACCTAGGGCGTTGCAGTTTTTATAAAGTAATTGCGTCTGAGGTTAGAACTGGAGCGAATCGGTGACGTGTTTAGTATTTAGAAATCGTTCTCATAAACTGTTAATGAAATTTAGTATGATTATATTTACATCCCTAACACGACTAACTATAGAATAACTTCGAACCTAAAAATTACAATTCCGAAACGAATTGATAAAAATTACGAACTATTGGAAAAAATATATGTTCTATTGTTTTAAGCAAATTTATTAAGTGTATAGTTTTATGCCAAATTGCTTATAAAATGTATCTTTATATAATGTGCATTCGAAGGAATATAAGTATTAAAATGTCTCATCAACATTTATACAGTGAAGATTACAGCTGTATTTTATATGGAAGTATGCAACTAGGAATAATAAAATGTTTTTTAAATTTTTTAGAATTTTTCAAAATAAATATTTTTTTGTAATAAAAGTGTGTATCTTTGTTAAACATTTCTGAAACCTGCTTAAAATAAGTTAGTTTCTTCCTCGCATTTTATACACGTGCATCAACAAGACCATAC